CAAAAGATTAATTGTTATACACTTAATCTCTAAAGGTCCAGCTAAGAATCCTACTCTCCCACCAAATCTTTTCTAGTCTATTCGCTGATTGAAGGTTCATATACGGACACTCGGTTTTTTATACCTATGCCATATGCTCTGTCGTAACGGTTTCTAGATTCTAGATTTCATTATGAAGCGGTACACATATAAAATTTCCGGCAAATTTGTAAGTTGAACAAAAAATTTAAAGCCTAAAGCGATCACCCTCTGTTACAAGGGGTTCTTCATACTTTGAGATTGTGGAAAATTATAGGATATGTTCAGAAAGAGCTCATTTGTTAGCAATAGACGTTTTCTTTAGTAATATTCCTGAACCAGATGCTTTTTTGTCAAATAAAAAAAACGCCAGGGATGAAAAATAAGGGTGATTTTAGTGGTACACGTTTTTCTTAAATATCAAAAATAAAACTAAATCTTTTGCCAGACTTTTGTGGGGCGTTAAATATTTTTGTTTCATTTGTTCACAAGCCATCCAGAACGTTTGATGAATGTAATAGCGTATTGCTTGATTTTTTATTGTCAATAAAAAGTTTTGTATACCTACTTATTTGTGGCAATATTTTTTCAGGCGTATTTGTGCCACGAAAGTTGTCAAGAGAATGGTACAATAATAGAATCGGCCGCCGGATGGGCCGGGAAGTCACAAATATATCGTTCTAAAGGGTGCCTAATTCGTCAACGTATCACCGACCCTGCCACAATTGAAAGTGTGCAAGCGAATTGGCCAGAGATTACGAACATGAAAAATGCAGTGCCCCTAGTTTCATTATCGGCATCTCGCGTAGCTTTGGTAGAAAAACTGGAGTATCTAAGGAAAGGCGAACAAACACCCACTTCCTCCAGCGAAGGCGCTTTGTTCACATTTTCCTCTAAAGATCTTATTTTGTACGCGCTCGGAGGTAGGTCTTTCAATAAATTGTTTGACAAAGTAATGTGTTTGTGTTAATTAGTGGGCGCATCCGTTCAGAATCCAGAGGAGCTAAAGTTATTGTACGAAAATCACCAGAACTTCAGCGTAATTCCGTCTTTTTACATTTTACCTAGTATGCATGCTGTAACCTCTTTCCGACGTTTGAATACAATTCCCGGAAAAACAATTTCTCTTGAAAATATGCTTCATGGTGAACAATACCTGGAGATCTACAACAGCCCTCCCGAGGCTGGTACATTACTAAACAATCCCAAGATAGTGGAGACACTGGATAAGGGGTCTGGTGCCGCAATTGTTACCGATAGTAAGATTAGTTCAGCAATTGAAATCTGAGTATTCAAACTTAACGTTTAGTTAACAGTTACAATGAGCAAGGGGCGTTGATTATGCGAAATCAGTGTGTTTCGTTTGCTATTGGCGCTGGTAACTTTGGAGGGCCCAGAACTGGAAAAAAAATCGTACCTTGTGTACCGAAACCAGACCGTAAACCCGACCTATCCCTCTCCTACAAAACAACAATCGACCAAGCAGCACTTTACAGATTATCCGGTAAGACGCATTAGACCTTAAGTTTTAATCTGGCTCATTTGCAGGCGATACTAATCCATTGCATATCGATCCCAACTTTTCTGCAATTGCCGGGTACGAGACACCAATATTGCACGGTTTGTGTACCTTGGGTATTTCGGTTCGATTGGTAATGGGTGCATTCGCGTCTTACGACCAGAAGCTTTTTAGGGCGGTTAAAGTAAGAAAACGAAATTAATTTCTCCACGTCCTTTATTGTCTCTCTTTTAGGCTCGATTCACAAAGGTGGTTATTCCAGGTCAAACATTGCGCATTGACATGTGGAGAAATGGAAATCGAATTCATTTTGAAACTGTGGTTGTTGAAAATGGCACTGCTGCTATTGCAGGTGGAAAACTTTATTTTCTATTGCGGGTTTAGGGTCATTGATTGTGAACTTGACTTTACATTCATAAATTTATTGATAAGGTGATTTCCAGGTGCTTACGTTGATCTAAATGCTATCAAGACAGGAATAATACAAAATAAAGTAACAGCAAGTACTTTGAAGAGTGATGCGGTCTTTGAATATATTAATGATCAAATAAAAGTACAGCCAGATCAAGCAAAGAGCGTAAATGGAATTTTTTTAGTGAAAATCACTAAGGATGGAGAAATTGTTAAAGAATGGAGTAAGTTTAATTTACATTACACTGTTTTTGAAACAACTTCGAAACATACGTAGAAATAAGAGCATATACATATTGATTACGTTTTAGCAATGGATTTAAAATTGGCATCCATATATGAAGGAGCCGGGCAAGATGTGAAACCAAATACTACACTGGTTGTATCAGATGACGATTTCGTGGAATTAGCCGTTGGTAAATTAAATCCACAACAAGCCTTTCTGAAGGGAAAATTGAAAGTGACCGGAAATATTATGCTTGCTCAAAAATTGGGACCTCTCCTTAAGGCTGCACCTAAACTTTAAATATATTGTGTAGCTTTGTTTGTAATAGAATTAAATGTACTAGTAGATTACATACTGATGAGATGGGAAGTGCTTCATTGCCTACGCTTACGGCTGTAGGTATAAGTACATCGCCGCCCATGCGCTAAGATGCATATGTGACCGCATTCTTCCCACTAAAATTATCAGAATTTCTTGATGAATAATGTCAAACTGTTAATATGAGCATGGACTAATTACACTATTTAGTCTATGAGTGTACTCCGCGTTTATACCTTATATACAGTGCTATTTATTAAGAAGACATAGGGATTTAGGTGTATTGTTTGTGTACTGTTTACTTTTAAATCACTTCTGAAGGACGCCTAATTTTATGCTTCCGTATTTTTATTTTCAAAAAAAGGCACCTTCCTTTTTTACCAAAAATCGACTGCACCAAAATTTCTCGGGAAAACACTTTTTCTTATTAATTTTGGTGCGTAGAATCCAAAACAATTCGTACTTTTTTGATCAGACTTCTCAATCAAAAGTTATAGACTAGAAACCAATTTCGAAAGAAAATTCAAAGGGCTGTAACTTTTGAACTAGTAGCCCAATCTTGGAACTGTTTGAAATTATGGATTCTGCAGGCCACATTCTATAAGAAAATGTTTTTTCCCGGTCGATCTGAGACAATTTTTTCTTCGGGGCTAAAAAAATGGCAGTTTTTCTTTTCAATTTTTGTGCGTTGAATCCAAAGCAATTCGTACTTTTTCGATTAGACTTCTCAATCAAAAGTTATAGACCAATTTCGAAAGAAAATATAAAGGGCTGTAACTTTTGAACTAGTAGCCCAATCTTGGAACTGTTTGAAATTATGGAATCTACAGGCCATTTCCTTAAAGGGCATTTGATAATGTGCAATTTCATGTGGGAATTGTAGAGCAAATGTACTTCAATGATCCAGTATCTGGAATTGTCTTTTGTGTACGCATTTGGTACATTTGCGCCATCTCTTTGGCAATCCCTATACTTTTCCAAGTTTAATTGTTGTAATAGTTGAACCAGTTCCAATGAGATGTCGCCACGTACGACACTACCTTCACAAGAACATTTTAATTTATGCCCTTAATAGCCACGTCCGACTCGATTTTCCTTAAAGGGCAGTTGAAAATGTGCAATTTCATGTAGGATTTGTAGAGCAAATGTACTTCAATGATCCAGTGTCTGGAATTGTCTTTTGTGTACGCATTCGGTACATTTGCGCCATCTCTTTGGCAATCCCTATACTTTCCCAAGTTTAATTCTTGTAATAGTTGAACCAGTTCCAATGAGATGTCGCCACGTACGACACTACCTTCACAAGAACATTTTAATTTATGCCCTTAATATAGCCACGTCCGACTCAATTGCAGCAGTTGAACATGTGCCATTTCATGTAGGAAGAGCAATTGTACTTCAATAATCGACTACACAATTATGGATTCTACAGGCCACATTCTATAAAAAAAAATTGTTTCCGGGTCGATCTGAGACAATTTTTTCTTCGGGCCTCAAAAAAAGGCAGTGTACAACCTTCCTTTTTTACCAAAAATCGACTGCACCAAAATTTCTCGGGAAAACACTTTCTTATTAATTTTGGTGCGTTGAATTGAATCCAAAACAATTCGTACTTTTTCGATTAGACTTCTCAATTAAAAGTTATAGACTATAGAAACCAATTTCGAAAGAAAATTCAAAGGGCTGTAACTTTTGAAGTAGTAGCCCAATCTTGGATCTGTTTGAAATTATGGATTCTACAGGCCACATAGTCCAGTAACTTTGTTCCTGAAAATGGGGGGTACCAAGCGTCAAATCCGGTAGTTCTGATTTTTTGTGGGATTGCTTATGTTGTTAACCCAATGTATAATTCAAGTTTTCGACCTCGAGCGGCGAACGCAACATAGTCAAGTATACTAAAAACCCAGGAATTTTCGTTTTCTTTTCAGATTTTGACGATTTTAACCCTGAAGGACCAGTTTCTCGCCAATAGCGGTTCAATAAGTTTTCTTACACTATGGTATAGCACTTGAATTATACAGATTGCTGGTAACATATAAGTATAAGTATATAAGTTTAATTCTATCAGAAGACACCAAACGACCCTTCTATAAGTAATGGTTGCGAAGACGCCCTTATTTGCAGTACTACACCTTGGACGTTTCTTCGACGCCAACAGTATAAATTTGGGGCCAACCCCTGAAGGTGGGTGCGAAGTGGAAGCCGATAGGGGATTTTTACTGAAAATTATCGCAGAGTGCCATGCTTATCATATGGAATAATATGATCAAATGTGCCATGATTCACTGCAAAATTTTATTGCCCTTAAAAAACATATGATAATTGTTTATCTCGTAGTCAAGTGTAGGTATTATCAGATTATCAACAAAGTACAGTAGTTAATTTTGAAAGCTACTAAAAATAAAGCGGTGTTTTCCCTTTAGGTAAGCAACTTTTCTACCTTTTACAATATTTAAATGAAGGCGGGAGTGTTGTTTAGTTTTCCGTATAGCCTTGCCTTTCCCCTCTATTTGGCCTCGTACAAAGCACACGTGCAAAATGCATTTTCACGAAATTATTAGCAGTTTTCCTGACATACGGAAGAGAAGGTGGGCAGAAACGTTTAGAATTCTAGTCGATTCCTCATTTAGTGATTAATTTTAGTGCTTTAGGATACATAATTAATTGTGGTGAGAATTTTTTTGTCAAAATTATGACATTTGTTTACTAATTTTTAACTTAAATTTCGGTTACCTTGGGCGGGTCTTGGCCACGTGTTTATCACTTACACTTTTTTTAAATTTTATCAAAATCCCATTCCTTTAATTCAATGCCAGTTATCTCGCAAATGTTGCAAAAGATAACCTGTTTTCCTTTTTCCTCAATGCAGATACAACCGAAATGGTACAAACAGAAGACATTGTAGCAGAAGACAACGAGAAGGTTTTACCTCGTGCCCCCAAAGGCGTGCCCGACGGTAACTACAAACTAATCGGATGGAGTATCGATACGACGGGACGTCGTCTCATAGACGAAATATGCCAGATAGCCGCCTACTCCACGACCTCCCAATTCTCTCAGCACATTATGCCATTCTCCGATCTAAACGTGGGATCGCGTCGACGTCACAACCTACGTATCATAAACATCGGACGCTATCGAATGTTGAAGAACCTCAAGACAAACAAATTCGTCAAGACGAAAAGCGAAATCTCGGCGCTCACCGACTTTCTCACGTGGCTGGAGGCGAACCGGGGCGACGCCAAGGACGGCGTCATTCTCGTGTACCACGAGTTCCGCAAGACGTCCCCCGCCATGCTGCTCGAAGCCCTACGTCGATACAGCTTAATCGAACGATTTTCGCAGGTCGTCAAGGGCTTCGCGAACGGATTTAACATTGCGTCGGTGCAGTGTAAAAATACCACCAAGTCTTTCAGTTTACGGGTCATGAGTCGAATGCTGTTAAACAAGGAGGACGATTTCGGCAATGCGATCGATCGGGCTCAGGCCGCGTTTGAGGTCGTCGTCCATTTGGGGCAGGCGGAGAAGACGGACGTGAACGACACGAACGCCAATAACAACAACGAAGGACACATCAGTAGCTTTATTAGTAAATTTGTTAATCCCGTCTCGGCGGAGGAGGAGGAGATTGCAAATTTTAAGGTAGTATCTTTATAGTTTGTGTCTTATCATTAAATGAGAATCTGAATTGAAGGCCAATGAGATGGGAGAGAGGTGGCCAGTTAGTAGACGGCGGCAAAAGTGCTAATTAAAAAATTATTTGCACAATTATTTAGTTGTCGGGTAACCCCTGTGTGATAAAGATAACAACTTTAAAAAAATGAATAAGATCAGATTTATTCTTTATTTATTTAAATCTGATTTTATTTTATGTTTATGTCATCACATAGTTCCATTTCATTTTATTCCTTAAAATGGCATATCGAATAAAAATCAAACAATCGAATTATTCTTCTTTTCCGATTAATTAAAGAGGACACAGAAAATAAAATCAGAGTGAACATCAGAAATGACATTTTTTTAGCCAGTAACAGAATAGATAGCATTACATTCTGCATTTGATGCTGTTGTGTGGTCATGTCATGTCACTTTCTACATGCCGGCAGAGCCGTCCTTAGGGTGGAGCGAGTGGAGCGGCCGCTCCAGGCCTCGCGCTGAAAAAAAATATAAGGTTTTATTTAATGAAAATAAAAATAATATAATAATATTTTAATATATAAATATACCGGGTGCCCATTATGTATGGAATATAGTATATATTTCGGTAAAGATCGAATGTATACAACAATTTTTTATATGAAAGTTGTTACATTTTATTTCCCATAATAAGGCAGCATTCCATTGCTTTTATTCCAGAAAACAAATGAATAATGAAAATAATTGAATTTTTTTAAATAGCAACGCACATTTTCATTAGACTCATTTGATAGATTTTTTTTCTCTTTTCAATGACATAACACGTTAGCACCCGTGTAGAAGAAATTAATTTTTATTTCAAGTTTTTAGCGCATTTTTGAAAAAATACGTTCTGGCTGGCTGGCTGTCCGGCTGAGTTCTTAGCAACTACAATAGCTAGAGACTCAAATTATTACTAAAAGCTTTCTGCTATAGTGTAGATGTGCAGGCTCTAGTCTATTTTGAGTTAGTTTACTTGTGAGATCGATAATTTAAGAAAATAATTTCGATATGGTTTTTGGAGGTGCTATAATTTTACCGTTAGATAGCGCTACCAGTATAAAAACTTAATTATTTACTTTGTGATTTGTTTTACAAAATTAAGACGTACCCTTAATTGAAATTAAATAAAATGAATTATTTAACGCAGCCAAAATTACTCGTGAGCGATAATTTTAAACTTCGCTAATAAAATACTGATCTGCATTACCAAAAATGCGCTTTAATCATGCATATGCTGATTTACAACTTGTTTGGGATAGGTTATGCCACTGCCTTGCAGTGAATGGTGAACATTTTGAACATTCATTGCGATGAAAACCATTTTACTGCTAATTTCGTTTTGTCTTCAAGGTTTAATAAGAAACGTACACGTTCATTTGTTTTATTTTTATGTAGGATATCTGGATTAATGTTATTCATCTAATTATGATACATTTTTTTGAAAAATTTTCTTGAATACGGGTGCTAACATGTTACATCATCGAAAAGGGAAAAAAATCTATCAAATGATCCTAATGAAAAGGTGAATTGCCATTTAAAAAATTCAATTGTTTTTCGTTACTTACTCATTTGTTTTCTGAAATAAAAACAACTGAATGCTGGCATTTATGGGAATAATTACATACACTTTATTCCGTATAACTTCCGTTGCACGTCATCATTTTCTGTGACGTAATTACTATGCAATAATGCCAAATCTAGTTTTGAGCGATTTAGGTTAAGTCACTTGTCAACAAGACAGTGCATTCTTTGTGTGAACAATCCACAGCCACACCTTAAATAAAATAAAAATAATTTTTATTATTCATTTCGTTAATTGGAACCACAATATACATACAATATACTTTAATAACTTATGAACTGTACAAATGTAGCATCTCTTTTACAGAGAAAGTACTAAATATAAAATTTTACAGGTTATGTGATGTGATGGATGATTCAAATTAATCGGAATCATCGGAACTGCTTTCGTGTTCAAAGTTTATAATAATAGTAGCAACGTTTTCAAGATCTAATTGCTTTTCTCTTTCGTACCACTCGTGTATTACAGTTTCCGTATCCTTAACTGAATTGCGCCACGTTTCGGAAGTTATCGATTGTAGTGATTCTTGTCACGTTTATGCAATTTTCAATGCTTCGTCCATCTCTACCAATGTGTCGATTGTAGTAATTTTTCGCTATGCCCCAAATATGTTCGATAGGATTAAAAATGCGATGATAGGGTGGTAATTGTAAAACGAAGTAACCGTATTGCTCAGCTAAGTGGTCAATGCCTTATGCGGTACATTTTAGCTGATTTATTCCTAAAAGTATCAACAAGATTTATATAACATCAAATAATTTGCGAACGTACTTACTGTGCAACCTTTTCAACAGTTCGGCTGTAAAATCATTTTCGGAGAACTGCACATTATGATCACCTAACCACACTTTAATGTTGTCTGTTTTCCCGTTATCGAACACAATTATTGACGGGTTATCTAAATTCTTCAGTAATTTCTCTTCAAACCAATGCACAGCGAAAGACGTAGAAAATAATCAAAATCAAATCAAACGAAAAGTAAACCAAAAGCAACCTGTCAAATTTACAAATTTAAACGCGACAACATAGCGAAATGCTACCAATTGTTGCGGCTAAAATAAACTACATGCTTAATGTGTTGCCTAATAAACGAAAGTAAGTTTACGTTGGTACGTCGTTTTCTTCAGGTAATGACGTGCAACGGAAGATATACTGAATAGACCGTATATATTCGATATTTCCCTAGATATATACTACATTCCATACATAATGGGCACCCTGTATAATATAGAATATAAAATATCTGTCTGATTACCCGCACAATATGTTCAATTATTGATTAATTAAAAAACCTACGAACGAAATTCTCATTCGTACGTGATAGTCATTAGTCGCCAACAAACCCTCGCGCTCGCCGATGAGTGAATCATTCTTGCATGATCTCCTCCTCTCCCTTCGCCGCGTGACAGTCATTCAAAGTGCTTAAAATGATGATTTTGCATGTATAATTTTGCAAAAATTTTCGGAGTAGGACTCACTCCCCTCGGGGGTATTTCATACCCCCCCCCTCGGAAATTATTGTTAAAAAAGGCCCCGCAAAAATATTTCGCTCCAGGCCTCGCATTTACTAAGGACGGCTCTGCACTAATGTAACAAAATTGTCAGTAATAATCGACTCTTGAACATAATTTTTAATATCTATTTCTTCTTATGCGTTGAAAGTACTTCATTTGTATATAGTAACTAATAAAGAAGTATTATTATTCTTATTATCTAGAAATTCTGAGTGATGTATTGCAAGTTATCATTAGAAAAACAATTCCTGAATTCGGGTTGTTCTTTGGTGCATTTTTGGGGCCGAGTACTTTAATTTTCGAGGCAGGTAATGTCAAACAGTGTATCAACTTTTCTTTATTATGTAAATATTTGAAAGACAATACTGATCAGCAGATCTTTTGATTGGTATCCAAAAAGCACCATTGCATTGGATAATTTTTGAAAAAACCGCCACCTATGATAGTTTTATGGTCATCTAGATATTGAAACAAGTGAAGGTGCCTCCTAGTCCTTTTTCCATATTCCAGCATTATTAAAATTTCAGTATGCCGCCTTTCGAATAAAAGACCCATTTCCGTTGACTTCAAAAGTGTATTTTCACTCACAAATGGATGTCAACTAATGTAAATTAGTAACTTTTGATAAGTTCACGTAGTACCTTGACAGTTCTAACGCGCGATCAATTGTTTCAATATCTAGATGAATATAAAACGGTCATGGGTGAGTAGATTAATGGGCATTGTTGAAATACAACTACACGCAGTTTTTTGCGATTTTAAAAATAAACAAATCCATTGATAAAAAATTAAATACAAAATAACTTATTTGAAACATTGTTTCACAAAATGGATATTTACAGATATACAGGGTGTTACATATAATATAAGTAGGTATGTAAAAAAAATTAGGTGGTAGGGGGATCAATACAAGCACTTTTTCCAAATAAAACGAAAGTCCAACATGTTTTGTTTGGGAACCACCCTCAAAAAAGTAGTGAAATTTGCTTTTCTTGAGGGGTATTTGTTCAGGTATTTCACTGAGTAAACTTTTAGTCAAGAATCTGGGTATCAAAAAGACGCTTCTAAAATAGTGTCACCTGCACTCAAAGATATACTTTTTGTAAAATACGTATCTTGTGCAAAATTAGATGCCGATTTGGTATCAAGAGGGCGCAATGATTGCAGTGATTGCAAATAGCCAGAAAAAAAATTTGTTCAAAATTTCGCACTTCTCAAAAATTAGAATTTTGACATTTACCTCGCATTCCCGAAGTTATTTATGAATATTTTTTAAGAATTTGTGCACCATTCGTACGCTCATGATATTTTTGCTTGTTTTCGATGTTTTTCGGGGATATTTTGAAAACTTTCACTTCTTGTGTAGTAGTCTAGTAGGGGGGTATTTTTATATTTTCCATAACCTGCTTAGATTTTAAGATACAGCACCAATGTTTGTTTTTCAAATAGAATGTATAATATTTTTTTGGACCAGTGAATTCCTTATTTTTTGCTAATCATACGGAAGTTATAAGGGAAAATGTTGTACTTGCAAAATTTCTCTAAAAAAAAACTGTCCATTTTAGAATAATTTTGAGAGCATTTTTTTGTCCGTTTTTTTATGCTCTTTCCATTGATGCATAGTAAAGATATGGTTTCGAGTTTTTGACCAATAACGATTGTCAACTTTGATCGATTATTTGTATTATTTTCGAATCGGACCAATAACATTTAATAGAGTAGATTTTTAGCTGTCCTTTGTGAACAAAACATTTTGCTAACTTGTCAGACAACAGTGATATGGCTAATTTACTGAACCTCTGAAACTGTGAAAAAATGTCAAATAACTTCGAAACCCTATCAGTTAGACATAGCATCATATTAACAAAATCATACTGATTTTTTATGACAAATTTAAAAATACCATCAGAAAACATGGTGCCATTTAAATAAGAAAGTTCCGATATCGTTCTGTTACAACCGAAAAAGCGGCCATCTTGAAAATATTTTGAAATAGTTCATTTTGATCGATTATTCAAAAAAGGTAATGAGTCTCGAATCAAAATTCCAAACCGTTCCTGAATCACTTCTAATGATCCACTTAAAAACACATTGAAATTTCTCTTAAGACAAACTGAAAGATATTTAATATCTCGCCATCTGACCTTACCAATCCTTATCAAAAACATTCAAAAAAGTATACACACATTGGGGTCTTACATCTTTACGTTGGTTTTCTGTATCAAACTAGCTAATCGCACATTGTTTTTTTATTGGTTTACCGTACGACGATCTTTGTTGCATAAAGGGTTGAAACTTCTCTTGGTTAGCACAATTTTAAAATTCTGAACTAAAACTGTCTAAAGTAAAATTAATCACCCTTTGCCGAAGGCTAGCCAAAATTTTACCTAATTTTTGGTGGATAAAATCAGCAAGAAAATGAACCCTTGAATTTGTCAAATTGTATTGTTGTGGAATAAAAGAATTCCTTAAATCAGAATTTAATTCTAAATCCAAGTCAAATTTAATAGGCTCTTAAATTTTTAGAAATTTCCAACTAGAATTTTTAAGAATTATACAGGACAATTTTACATTTCCCGAACTGCTCTTGTTTGTTTGGTTTTGGTAAAAAAAAACAAATGTATCACGTGGGTAACTGCTGCTGTTTTTTAAGTAATTTGTTTGCAAACTAATTTTATTCACTGGCTCTCAAAAATCTTTGCATTGTACTTCTATTTTTAATTTTTTAACATTTTTAATAGGTATTATTGGAAAGACAAAACACGTTTAGGCCAGTTTTTGGCGCGCTAATGAAAGCAACACTGCCAGAAAGACGACACGCTAGTCATTTACGCCGCCTTCTAGCCGAGAACAATATCGATTATGCCAAATTACAGAGTGCGTACGAAAGCAGCGCCAAGGATGGAATTGAAGGCATTCTCAAAAACGAGGTCGGTTCGCACATTTTGACCATTTCAATTTCTAACGTCCTCGACTTTTAGGTGCCCAATGCTAAGGAAAAGGATCTTACGGAACTTTTAGAGATTTTAGATTGTTTCTTCGATCCGGAAAAGAAGGCCATACAGCCGAAACCACGATTTTTCGCCAACCAAAATCGCAATCCCAGAAGTAGAACCCAATCTAATAATAATAAGGAAAATGGCGAAGTGAACGGAAATAATAATAGTACGGAGGGTAGCGTCAACACTAGTAGTAGTGAAACTACTCCACGAACCGTCGAAAATGGTATAGTTGAACAGAGTCAGCCCTCAGAAACCGTTGTGCAATAATGAAGTCTGTGCCTTTGAAGATTTGTTACTAAAGATGTTCGCATTTACATTATGTTACCATTTAGAGTGATTATTTGTTTTTATTTTTTTTAACATGCTGCTGGACTTGTTGTTGAGTTTATCAATATTGTTTATGTAATGTTAATAATGTTACTAATTCTATTGAGATGCTTTGTTTATACCTATTTTAGTTTGTTATGGTTTAAAACAATTGTTCTAAGGGGAAGAGAGTGCTTTAATTTTATTTTGTGATAAATGGTGATTATTATAATTCTTTATTAATAAATTTTTGATTACATTTGTGAAATTATTATCTCATAACATTGTGACTTTTCTGCAAAAATTCAATTTATTTCGCACCATTCAATGTAGTACCGTTGAATAATAATCAGATTCTTTATTCAATGGTAGTACACTATTATTTTGTCCATAACTGTATTTATCAATGGACTAGAAACCAATTTCGAAAGAAAATTCAAAGGGCTGTAACTTTTGAACTAGTAGCCCAATCTTGGAACTGTTTGAAATTATGGATTCTACAGGCCATTTCCTTAAAGGGCAGTTGATAATGTGCAATTTCATGTAGGATTTGTAGAGCAAATGTACTTCAATGATCCAGTATCTGGAATTGTCTTGTGTACGCATTTGGTACATTTGCGCCATCTCTTTGGCAATCCCTATACTTTTCCAAGTTTAATTCTTGAAATAGTTGAACCAGTTCCAATGAGATGTCGCCACGTACGACACTACATTCACAAGAACATTTTAATTTATGCCCCGTCCAACTCAATTTTCCTTAAAGGGCAGTTGAACATGTGCAATTTCATGTAGGAGCAATTGTACTTCAATAATCGACTACACAATTATGGATTCTACAGGCCACATACTATAAGACAATTTTTTTTCTGTGTCGATCTGAGAAAATTTTTTTTCGGGGCTCAAAAAAAGGCAGTGTATTATAACCTTCCTTTTTTACCAAAAATCGACTGCACCAAAATTTCTCGGGAAAACACTTTCTCTTATTAATTTTGGTGCGTAGAATCCAAAACAATTCGTACTTTTTCGATCAGACTTCTCAATCAAAAGTTATAGACTAGAAACCCATTTCGAAAGAAAATTCAAAGGGCTGTAACTTTTGAACTAGTAGCCCAATCTTGGAACTGTTTGAAATTATGGATTCTGCAGGCCACATTCTATAAGAAAATTTTTTTTCCGGGTCGATCTGAGACAATTTTTTTTGCGGGCCTCAAAAAAAGGCAGTGTATAACCTTCCTTTTTTACCAAAATTCGACTGCACCAAAATTTCTCGGGAAAACACTTTTTCTTATTAATTTTGGTGCGTAGAATCCAAAACAATTCGTACTTTTTCGATCAGACTTCTCAATCAAAAGTTATAGACTAGAAACCAATTCGAAAGAAAATTCAAAGGGCTGTAACTTTTGAACTAGTAGCCCAATCTTGGAACTGTTTGAAATTATGGATTCTACAGGCCACATTCTATAAGAAATTTTTTTTCCGTGTCGATCTGAGACAATTTTTTTTTCGGGGCTCAAAAAA